CAGACCAGCAGACCCTGTCATGCCGTTCTACAAAGCCCCCTAGACCACCCCATCCCCACCCCTTTGCACCGTCATCCCCCCACCCACACCGTGTCCTGTTTTGTATATGTATCTGTTTTTGCATGCTCCTCGCTCTCGCTCGCTCTCTGTGTGTTTGTGCGTGTGTATAAGTGTGTGTGCGGAGTGTTTATATACATGTGCATGCACAGCTGTACCGTTTCGGGGCATTTTACAGCCACAGAGCCGCCGCCGCAGACCACCCGAGCACCACCCACAGCCACCCCCAAACAGGACCACCCACAACAACAATGCAAAACGTCTGCATTTCAACTAACGCCACCCGATACACAAACAAACGCAAAAGGGGGAAAGGGCCCAAAAGAGCTCCTCTCTCTTTTTCGCCTCCTCTTCTGTCACCCCCTCGAAAAAACCAACATCAACCCACCGAGCCACCCAGCCAACCCACCTACAGAAACCCCCCATAAAACCCCCACCCAATGCAGCAGCCTTCTCATATTGCCATAGTTGTTGTCTTCTTCTTCTTATTGTTGTTGTTCTTGTTGTTGTTCCTGTAAATGCCGAAAAAGTTTTATACATAAGCGGAAGCTTGCGAGAAACCCTAACCCAAAAGAAAACTTCATTGAAATACCAAAATAACAGAAGTTATTACAAAATCAATAAGTTAATTTCGCTTTTTTTCCTTTCACGATTTACGTGACATTTTTTTTATGACAGAGTTTCTGCCTATTTAATCAATAAAATTTCTGGTAAACAAACTAGAAACCTTTCGCCTTCCAAATCCCTTTTAGCATTTTAATATGTACATGTATGGAGACGAAGAACTTTGCAAATCCCTTGTAATAATTTGTTATTTCACTGTCTGCTTTAAATTTTAAGTAGCGTGGCCTTCTTGGTCCCGCATAATCGATTTTTTCAGGAGCAGCAGAGCCAAAGTTAAAACCACCCACTCGTACTCGGGCCCGAAAGCACAAAGGGGATCCATAAAAAATATATATATGTACAAGTAAAAACAACTAAAGAGACAGGAAAACTCTCAGAAAGTAAATGGAGGTGCGGAAAATTGGTTTGGGTAAGTTGGGTTAAGGTGGAAAGTTTGGAAAAATCCAAACAATAAACGAATTCCTTTGGCTGAACACGCTCGCCCTCTGACCCTTTTCATGTTACTGGAGATTTTATTAAAATTCTTAGAGTTGCAAGTTAAAGGTCTGATCGAATTGCTTGAATTATTGTTTATTTATTTGGAAAGCTTTTTACATATCTTTAGTTGAGAAATAATAACATATGCATAAAACTTAATGTATACATTTTGAAGCAAAGGGAAAGCCAAATAAAAGTTGAAATCATGGTGTGGGTACTTTTTCTTGGCTTAAGTTACTTTTAAAAATCTTTTTAGTTAAAGCAGTCACAGTTTTTAAAGACCTTAAGTTGTTGAGTTTATTTAAGTTTAAGAATATGCCATTACTTTTATCGAAAAATGGCAAAATCTTCTCTCGTTTTTTAGTGTTATCGTAATCGCCATCACAATCGCTCTTGAATCGTTTGCGGACTTTGATTCATTGTTCTCCCCGGTTGTTGCCAATGCAGCTGGGCTTTTGTTTTACTTGTCAACAGAGAGTTTAGTTTGGTGCATCGGCTTAGGTTTAGGTACTACAAAAAGCCCCCTTTTCACCCAACCCACCCCACAACGCCTCTTCCCTCCCAAAAACAACAATGCTGCGGACGCTGCATGCAACTATTGAAGCATGAACATGCAATTTATGTACCTATATGTGCATATATACCTACGAACTATGAAATACAGCAACAACAGCAGCAATAAGCGACTGTACTTTTGATATAAAATCCACTTCACTCCATTCCATACATGGAAAACCGAACAAACACTCGCACATACAGTGCAGATACACGTATATAGCCCCAAAACACCCCCCATCCACCTCCCCCACCCGGCCTCCCACTTTTAGAGACACCCACTTGGAGTGGAAAGCTCTGTTTAGTTTTAGTTGCGCTTTAAACTGCATTTCGGCTTGCGATGCTTTGTTGTTGTAAGCTGTACATAGAGGATTGCCATGGGTGTAGTAAATGGGGGGCTTTACTTGTGCAGCAAACGAAATAGAAAACAACTGCAATATGTTTGGTTCCATGGAATGCAAATGGAATCGGCAGAAAACAGCCCCAGATGCATTGCAGGGAGCTCCAACCAAAAAACAGGCATTACCACCCACACATCTCAGTTTTTATCTATAAATGGTTACTCTACAGCAGCTTTATGTGTTGGATGGAGAAAACTTTGGAAGGGCTGCCAAATAGTTTTTTACAAAGCGAAAGTTTTTCTAAAAATTTGGAAATAGGAAAAAGAAAAAGTATAGTTTTTTTCGAATCGATTTTTATATTATTTTAAAAGGGCTTCACCAATCTTGTTACCTTCGAATTATTTTAAAGAAGCTTGCCTTGAGGGACAACTAAAAATGTATTCCACTTATGTCCGATTTATATTTTTATATCCATTTTTGTGGAAGATTGTATAAAAACTATTAAATATTTGAGCGAACAACTCAACTAAAACTAACATCTTTTTAACCAATTACTAACTAAAGGAGGTAAAATGTTTTTGTGACAGCATAAATTGGTGTTACCTTTTGATCAAATGCCTTGATTGTTTATGGTTACTAAACAAAAAGAGTTTGATTGAACTTTTGACCCCCTATAACCCAAATTAGAGGAAAATCTTTGCTATCAATAACAAGTGCAGGCTATCTAGGTTCCGCAATTTGAGGAAAGAGGTTCGAGAAAGGTGAAATAAGGAAGAGTGGTACTTCACAGCGTTAAGCTGTCGACTTTTCTTGCTCCACTTGCACAAACAAAAAAAACGAAAAGTCGAAAAGAGAATTTCGGCTATCGAGCTGCTCCCCCAAAACGCTCACTCACGCACACACACAAGCAAAAGTTACGTACACACTCTCAGACTCACCTGCAAACGCAGGTAAATCGATGTCTGTGTGTGCGGGTGCGGGGTACCTGTGTTGAGCTGACACGGCAACAAACAAAGGTAACAACGCTAAAGCTACAGCGATAAATCTAGAACCGGGCATTCTAGTTCCAAGCTGCCAAGCATTTAATTCCTTTCAATTAACGTTTCCTTTTTTATTGGATCTTTGGTCTATAAAACATTTTGTTTCGGTAAAATGTACGAAATTAGCTGGTTTGCTTATAATTATATAGTTTAGCAAATCAATTATTAAAATCGGTGCTAATGCATTCCATTTTTGTTAAGGAACCTTGTTGCCGAAGTTCACCTGTTAAAGCCATTACATATAAACAGACATTTACGAGTGCCATTAAAAGTAAGTGATTTTAATACTATGTTTGTTTGAACACTATTTTTAATATTTAGGCAACTACATATTAAATAATTATTTAAATATATAATCGAGTTTTTAACAATTCAATTTTTTCCTAGCTTCCTTTGGAAAACATCAAAGTCTAAATTGCACTCCCCAAACTTTTGGGTTTGACCTGATCCACAGTGAACTGGTTCAAATTTTAGTTTCCCCACATTGCACCCCAAAACAACAACAATTACAACTGCATCTACAGTACAACAACAATAACAGCTAGAAATGCGGGTCTGGGTCGTAAAATCGAGACCAAAAAGAGAGAGAAGAGAGAGCAGAGGCAAGAAGAAGTGCAAAGAGGAGGCGGAGGAGGATGGGGAGACTCGACGAGACGTCGAGAATGCAGTGCACATAAAGAATGCCAAAATAAGTTTAAAACTAACGACGAACCGGGTTTTAGTGCGTACGTGTTGTGTGCGATTGTGTGGGAGCGGGACAGCCAGCAAGGTGGTTTTTGGCTGTCTGTGTGTTTGTACTTTGGAGCATGCAACTTTGCCGAAAAATGCGTATGCGGGGGTTAGAGAAAGAGATTGGGGAAGCTCCAAAAAAAGAGAGCACCGAATGGGAGAGAGAGTTTACGAAGCAAGTGCATTTTATTGTGTGTGGGGTAATTTTCGAGGCATTAACAAGTGTTGCAAAGCGCAAAATGTGCGTGCGGGTAATTAGCCAAACTAAATAAAAGAATATTTAGGAAACAGGGAAAGTTCATTAACACGGGAAAAATAAAACCCCTCCAACCGACCATTCATTCATAAGCGATAAATGTGTGTATAGATAACGGAATAACAAAAAATAAACGAGCAGCGGCGACAACCCCTTCCGAAAATAAAAAGAAAAACCGTGGCAACCCGGTCGAGCGGCACGGCAACAAAAAAATAGCAGCAGCTGAAACGAGCGCCTAAGCATGGCGTCACAACAACAAATAAAAGCTGTAAAAATTGTCAATATAAAAGAAAGAAAGGCAAAAACAAAAACAAGAAGTAGAAAAAGCAGGCTTTTGAGCTTTGCGAAATAATGCGCGAGAGTTAAAGAAGAAGCCGCCAACGTCGACTGCGACGCCGGCAGAGCATTTTTAACGAGCCGAATGACAAGCGCACACAAACACACTTATGCAGATGGACACAGTCGAGGGCGGAACAACAGCATCTTGAAATCTTGTGTAAAATCTATATTAACATTGCAAATTGTTTAGGTGATATTATAATATGAAATCAATTAAATAAGTTTTCTTAATTATCTCTGCATACTCAATGTCGCAGAAAAGTTTATTTACTTTTTTTAATCTTCACTAAAATGATAAACTTGACAAAAAGGACAAACCTAATCAAGGTTTTATTGAATGACTGACTTATTTAATTGCCGCTAAAGCATTGACCTCCATTGTCCAAACACACACAACCACGCACAGATGGGCGACATGCATACGAGACGCCGCAGCAGCAGACCGGTTGAGGTTAAATTGGATAGAGAGAAAGAGCGAGATGGAGCTGCTCTCGCATACATATGTATTGAATTTTTCTTCTTTGGCGGATTGAAAATTTTAGCACTGTTTTGGGGCAAGAAAAAGAAGAAGGAAAAACTTACCCGCGTGTGAAAATCCGTTAGTCGGTGGCGCCTCTGCCGCTGCCCTGCTGCTGCGGAACTCCTTTTGATTTTTCCGACTTTGCATGCACAAAACTATATGGATTTCACTTAATTAAATTTACTGCTTATGTACACTTTATATGCACTTATTTGTTGGTATATATATATTTGTATACGCCTCACTAACACACTTGCAGCACGCGTTCTGTTGACGTCGGCGTAGCTGCTTTTATGGCGGTTTTCCCGAAAAAGACGCACTAAAGAATACTTTGTATTTTGTATTTATTAAATATTTGTTTTGTTTGCCTTGCAGTAAACTTTATTCGTAATTTGTTTACTATTTCGAAGAGAGAGTGACATACGCACACAGACACGCCGCTCTAAGCACTTGTGTGCGGCATTGCATTCCACTTCGATTTGTTTGTAAATAGATCAAGATATTTTATTATATCCCCCTGAAATCCGGAGATAAAACTGCCGCAACTCGATTCAATTTCAATTGTGCTGTTTCGCCGCTCCACTCACGCACACTCACTCACTCACACAGACGATACCGCGCAGCACGTCCGAACGATCCGAGAGACGAAAAAGCAAAAAAGTGTTTGTTTTGTTTTGAGAGTGTAGAGCTGCAACTAAAATCGATGTTTTTTTTCGATACTATCGACGTACCGGTGGATTTTACAGCTCAAGAACTATGGGCACATTATTATGATGTAAATTGGAGGGGAAACATCAATGTCGTTGTTCATCAAAGTTTTAAAATAAAACAATAATGCAAAAATCGTTCTTATTCTTTGTTATTTTTCAAGAAAACTTTTTAATATCTATAATTTTATAAATGAAATTTTTTTTAGTTTTATGCATTGCTTTTAACCAGTATCAAAAAAAATATATATAAAATAAGATATATAACAGCTTTTACATTTTTTTATTTACAAATATCAAGTTTTGATTAAAATGCTCTAATAGGTTTTTAAACCTTGTTCAATTGCACAAAATTTTCGGCCTGATGTTTGATGTACGACTTGCGGCAATCCATATCATCAGCTGGGCGGTTGTGTGGAGCCCACACGGGTTCCCCCACAAAATAACGACGAGTCCTAATGAAGTTCTATTAAAAAATGAAATGATAAATAAAAAATCAATTCATATATTTTGGTAATAAAATGTTCAGAGCACTTACATTGGAATCCAAAGTAAAACGGTGGTAGATGCCAGCTGGTATTATAATCAGATCTCCTTTTACAACCAAAATGCGCAGCCAATTGTCCTCGTTGCTAAAATGCATTTTTTTTCAATAAGCATGAATTCAGATGTGAGCTAATAAACAAATAAATTCCGAAACTCACTCGCGAACATCAAAGTAACCGGATCCATTCAAAATCAAACGTATTTCCTCGTCCGTGTGCAAGTGCTCGGTGTAGAAAGCTTTTAACTTGTTGGCGTAGTCAGGAAGACACTTTTCCGAGCAAGTGATCTGCAATAGATTTTATTTGTACAAAGGTTCCCCAACAGTTTATTTTGTTTCCAATCTTGCCTCATCATCGTACGTGTAACCACGTTGTGCCCTCAGTTCGGTGAGAGTATTATCGCTCTGGTAGGCGTCCGCGTTGATCTGCAAAAAATTAATAATCAAGATAAGCTCGCAAGGTCACAAAAGGTTTAAACTTTGAAGTCGTAATTTCACTTGCTTTAAAGTATTCAACGCCGGTTTTCTTGTAAAGATCATCCAATTCCAAATAAGCAGGAGGATTGCGATGGTGCTCTAAGCGCTGATCGGTTTCCTCCGTATCCATATACCAAACTTGCACCATTTTTTAAATTTGTTCAACTACTTTCAACGAACGACGAGCAACAAATAGATTAACAAGCAAATCAAACTGCCATCAGCTGTTTTCGAATTTTCGAAAGCTAACAGTGTCGAAGATGAATGCCGCTAATGCTAGTGCTGTTAACTTAACATTCGAAAAGAGATAACAGAAATCCGTTGGTTCTGTTAATATTTTAAATTTGTACTAAGCATTGAAAAAAAGAGGTGATACAAGTTTTTATTTTATTTTAACCCAATAACTCCTTTAAAATTTATTTTTTAATATACTCTTTTATTTGCCTTTTGATGTGTGTAAAATTGTTGGGCAGTTGTAGTTGCACTTTTTGAATGAAAATTAAGGAAATCAATTGCGGTTAGCAAATTCTTTACATGCTGGTAATACAAATTATATTATTTACTACTGTGAGGCTTATTTTGTGTATGCAGCTTACAGGCGGTACTAACAATAACTTAGTACACGAAACTGCTTAGTTCCTTGTTTTATGGTACATTTATTAGCGATACAAAGAAGCCATTGGATTACGCAGTCAGTTTGGATAATTCTTCGCGCAGCTCGGCGGTGTCGATTGCTCCTTTAGACTGGGATTGCGATTGATTTTGGGACTGCGATTGGGCCAAAAGGCGGGCGCAGTTCTTCTTGTGCATAAACCAGTGGAGTCGTTGGCACTCCCGATCGCAATACTGCACCGCTTTGCACTTGGAGCACTTCTTGTCCGGCTTCTCGGCGCCACAGGTGCTGCAGTAGCTGCCTTCGTCCTGAAAGTAGAAGTTATGAGATTAGAGTACCTATTTCGTTAATATATTCTACTGATATTAAAGCATATAAATAGACAGGCAACTATTGATAAACATCTTTACATTTTAAAAGTACTGTGAGTATTCAAATTACTTTTATAATAACTCACCACAAATCCCCTCATTCCGTTTATTGCATTTCTAAGGATCGTCAGAGCTGGCGGGGCATCCTTGGCGCCCAGTTGCGTGGCGATTTGCCGGAAGATGGTGCACTCCCGCACAGGAAACTCCCGAGCGCACTCCCTTAACGTATATTCCACATAGTCCAGCTGGCCCAGCTTGTTCTCCTTGAGCACCCGCTTCACGAACATCTCGATGAAGTCGTTCTTGTTGGCCTCGCCGGCCTCCTCGCCGCTTTTCTCCTTGTGCTGAGCCTTGAACTGCTCCTCGCAGCGTATCAGTTCGGCCAGAATCCAACCCTGATAATGGAACTTGAAGGCCAGCAGTTCGTTGAGGTCATGTGTCTTCTGCATCTCCTTCTCGCACATCAAAGCGAGCGTTTTTCGCAGGTTCGTTAGGATTCTGAGCAGTCCCAACGACTGCACATTAAGGGCAATCCTCACAGGATGCAGGTTGATTTCGGTGACGAAGGCATGGAAGGAATTCAGTAGGCTGGGCGGTATTTGCGGCTCCGTCTGCTGGCCGTGCACTTGGGTGTAGTACTCCAAACTCGAGCGGGTCACGTAGTTGTTGATGGTCTCCACGCAGGCGTGGTTGCCCACGAAAGCGGCCATTTGGGCGGCGGTCCTCTGGACACTGTTTATGCTACTCGGCTTAATACCTGCATCCAGAAGTTGCCGGCAAACGTGGGTATTACCAGATAGAGCAGCAAAATGCAGAGGCGTGTAGTCAGCTCCATGTTGATTCAGGTTTATGTCGGCACCCTGTGGGAGATGGTTGAGTTAATAATAAATTTTAAAGTAGAAACAGCGGATAACAGTATGTAGTCTATAATGACGAGGTTTTCACAAGAACCTATATATGTTACAAAGAATTACTGACTTCTGTCAGATATGTAATAAAGAATGTAAGAGAATCTTTAGCTACAAATAGGAACACCTGTGGCTGAATGAGTTATTTAACCCCCAAGACAGGGTCCAATTGCCAGATATACCCACCATATCCAGGAGCAGCTGGACCGCCTCGCGGTTTCCCTTGAAGCTGGCGTGGGCCAAACAAGACATCCCACTGTCGTCCACGAAGTTCACGTTATTGCAGCCGACCAGCAGCTGTTTGAATCCACTGGTGTCGTTCTTGGCCAGCCGATCCAGCAGTTGGCGCTGCAGGTCATCCAGCTGGGCATTCTTCTGCTCCTCAGTCATTGTTGTTTGGGTTTTTTTAGGATAATTTCAAGAGTTCTTCGGAAAATGGTAATCAAGAAAACTCCACTGTTTTCGGCGTGCACAGTTCTACAGCGATATATGCATCATTTTGCAACACTACGTGAATTCGATACATCGTTAACAATGGTATGTGTCTTGGCTATTGCGAATTTGGAACCAAAGCTAGCATGGGTTGAGAACAAGTGTAAGGGGAGAACAGGATTTTTTAGTGTTTCACAATTTCGTAGTTCCAAACACTTAGCATCGATAGTCAAGACCAAACATCGATGTTTCTCCACCTCTAATCTCGTCACTCTAGTTGTTTTGTTTTTGTTGTTGCGTTTTTTGTGGCGGCCGTGTGTATCGCATCGCATCGAATTGAAAATCGTGTGTTTGGTGGTTTTCAAACATAAATACATGCATTTAACCCGCGAGGTGCCAACAATGTTCTAACGCCGCTGCGCTTCTTAAATAAAAATAAAAAAAATTTGAAGGAAATAAAAAACAGTGAAAAAGGTGATAAGCGTGTAAAAAAGGAAGGAAGGGAAATTGAAATTCCAATGCAGACGAACCCTTTTGCATTGGGAAATGTATAAATAAAAGTGAAGATAAGCGCGCAAAATAGCGAAGCAGGCGCAAAAAGGAGAGCGAAACAGCGAGATAACGAAAAGCCAGATAAACAAAAGCCACTTACACATGGCCACAATTCTTCAATAAAAACAAGCCCGTTTTTTGTTGCTCCTTTCATATTTTTTTTTGCAAAGTGTGTTTACATGTGCTGTGTGAGCAGGAAAATGGCCTTTTCCTACTTAGCACGATGTGTGAAAATTGGCCTTGCCGTTTCTCAGTTTCTTTTTTGTTTACCATTTTCGATTTGTTTCGATTTCGCAGTATTTCCTGCGAAACACACACAAACGGACAATGCGAACTAAGATAGACACAAACACATGGCTCATTTCTCCTCCCGTTCATCTTCCTCTCTCCTTTGCTCTGCTTCTCCTCTTCACCCCCGCAGTGCAATTTCAGAGGTCGAAAGTAATACAGTAAATATTTGATAAGGGAGACAGCAAGTGTGGAAAATGGAAAAAAAAAACGTTGTTGGTGCCTTATTCTGATTCAGTATATTTTCTCAAAGATGGTTGAAAAAATGTTCTTTTGGGGAATATAATAACACATATAAATTAAAATTTTTACTGGAAATCAATGAATGTTTTCAATCAATAAGCTGGTTTTATGTACCCAAATTAAATCTTTCGATCTCAATTAGTTAGAATTCCAACTGCAAGACATGAAATTCTCGTAACCAAAACCATCTGTGTTATTTTTTTCCCATATGTGATGGGGGCTGAAAACAGAGTTTGGCTTTCACCGTTTTTCCCACCCTTGAGGTTGCTGTTTTCCATTGTCCTCCAAAAAATGAAACAAGTTCCTGACTGCATCTTCCCCACCAACTATCCCTATCAACTTTTGCAGCTGCTATTTAGGGAGCCAGAAAATTTATTAAGCCCTTTTGTGACAACAGGTGCAACAGCTGCTCATATCTTCTCTTTTGTATTCCCATCCCCTCGCAGTGCTTTAAAATAGTAAACCAAAAGTGCTAATTAATAACCGACAAAACTAAAGGAAAAACCAATACTACCAAGTCCAAAAACACCACAAGTATTAGTTAATCAAGGAAAATGGGAAAGCTGCTGAGCCTGCTGTCACGCGACGACTCGAATTGTTGCGCCGCAAAGTCCTACGATGTCTTCCTGGATTTCGAGAATGCCGCCCCCACGGAAACGGAGCGGGAGGTCTACGACGAGGTGGAGCGCGTTCTTCGGGAATCGGAGGTCGTTCTCGAGGAGATACAGATCTATCGGGTGAGTCTCCACTAGCCATATGCGTCATTTGCTCTGGGTTTAACCGCAAGCCCGCCAACCGGTTATTAGGCATTTGCTTAATGACACCTATAGTTCGAACCACTATGTGATATAATCAAGAAATTTCACTTGCAGTGTTATTTACTCAGGGACATTGTTTTAAAATTTTTCTGATTTTCTTTATACATAATATATTTTTGAGAAATTCTAACTGCGTTTTCGTTAAAATTTTACTTTATTTAATGTCATCGTTACTTTAATTGATATTAAACAATAATAATAAAATATCAACAATAAAATTTACAGTCATTGCTTTTAATTTTAATACGCCACTTTATAGACTCTAAAGCAGTTTAATTCTATTTGGGCGTCCCGAAAGGCAGAAAAGTATAAAACTGATAATTTCAACAACTTGCTAAAAATAACAACAATCGCCAGGAAATCGACAGCAACAAAAAAGAGCAGTAATAAAGCGAGCAACAAATTGAGTATTTAACCTTTGGCAGGGTGAGAAAATAGACGCACTGAGCGTTATCTTGGGTGCAAGTTTGTACTCTCTTTCAGTCGTAATTCTCATACCCTTTTGGAAATGTTTACTGGGAATTATCTGAGCGCTTCAAAATATTTAAACTCCGCAACGAATTAAATAAGTCAATATTATTCTGAATTATTTCTTCAAAAATATCATCCAACAATTTTGATTAAATTAGTAAGTAAGCAACAAAGAAGTAAACAAAAAATATTTTATTGAAAGGCTTATGAATCTGTTCTTCTATAAATATTTGTTTATAAATATTCAGAATATTTATCACTTAACGTTGAGGCAGTATATGTATAATATGGCCTTTAAATGTTATTCTTTGCAATAGTTAATATTGACAGACCCTAAGTTGTTTATTGGCTCCAATATAACTTTAACTTTGGCTCTTCCAATGGGTTTCTAAGGGTCTCTTTGATGGTCTGACTCACGCACGTGCCCACATGATCTGATCCGGTGAGCGGACTTCTTTCATTATCGCTTCACTGACGTCATTAACCAACTTTTGCCGTTGCTCTTCACACTCTGATATTTCTTTGCCTCTCTTCGGGAAGAATTAGTCACACCGTTCTTCGTTACCCACAGAGAAAGAAATTTCTTTGATGTTAATTATATTTCTTATCAAAAACAAATTGTGTTAAAATTTATCTTAGAAAAAATAATTAACTTAGTTTTTTACAGTCAAAACAAAAAAGATTAGTTAATATTCCATCAAATAGATAAGAAAATGTAACATGAATATTAATTTTTATCTTCCAATTTTTATGGTTCTGAAAAGCGAGATAAGATATTTCAATATGTTAAGCAAACTGTTATCAAAACTCGATCTAAAAATGAAGGAAAATTTGTGAAAACTAAAAATTTAAAATGGAAAACAAAGTTAATTTTTATGTAAGGAAATTGTTTTATTTTTGTACAAATTTTTCAAATTTCTTCCAAAGTTATATTTTTTCTTGTGCATGTGACCTTTTTGCGACAAATTCTAATTCACATTGGTGTGTGCAAAATATTAATTGGGTTTCAGACGCAAAAAGACAACAAAGCGGTGAAAAGGGAAAGGGGAAAATGCGGGGTGGCAGACAAACAAATGTCAGGCCCAAAAGCTTTAATCAACGCAAATGAACTGGAAAATGTATACCAATGAGCTCATTTCCTTTGTGTTGACCCACTTAAATGGGAATGAAACCAACAAAGACGACCTCGACGGGCATTTAACCCTTTGGTGCAACGATCCAACGTCCCTCTTTTACATGCTTTTCTAGAGCTAACCAGAGGTATTTAAAATGCGCTTAAATTGCGGGTTGCATTTTTATTTTCATTGCAGTTTTTATTCGACTGCTCTGCGCGGTCTTTTTTCCCCCAAATGAGTGGGTGGCTTTTGGGTTGCTACAACTGGTTGTCAAGGCAAACAAACTGGTTGCGGAGTAGGTGATTATTCCCTCTTACCTCTTTCCAAAAATAGTTGGCCAGGCGCCAAAAGCTGGCAAAATGGCAAAAACTTCTTAGTTTTTTTGTTTGCCTCCTCCTCCAAGTCAGTTGCTATAAATAGAAACATAATGAAAAGAGGAAAAGTCAGAGTTCTTCCTTTTTCACTTGCATTTCTTGTTTTCTTAAGTTGAGTTTTAAGATAGGAAGACTTTAAAACTGAACAAAAATGATTGATAAATAATATTTGAACTGGATTTGAAATTATATTGACTTAACATTAAAAACGTCAGTCCATCTTAAAAATAAGAAAGTAAAATAAAATAAATAAAAACTTAAACATTGTATTAAACCTTTTCATTCCAAAGAATTCGTTCGACTTTTCTCCAGCTGTAATAGGCTTTTCTATCTGATTTATCAGCACTTGTTAGTGACGCTTTTGTCAAATATTGGCCCAGACTAGATAGGGAATAAAAGGCGCCTATTGTGTGTGCGTAATAAACAAGCAACAACAAGGTCAACAAAGGGCCGCAAATAATAATAATAGAAAAAGTCCCACATTCAGTGCAACAACGGTCATAATAATAACGATGCTTACGCACTCACCTGAAGAATAGGGAAAAAACAACAATAAACACGAAAGTACTATATATCAACAAGCAACATCGTGTGGGTGCTGCTCAGATAAAAGTTTATCGGGTTTGTGGGCCAAAGCCATTGAAATTTAATGAACCGCTATGAGGTATTATTTAATTATATGAATTAACCTATAAATTTTGTGGTTTTCAATACCGCTGATAACCATTACACATTTTCAGATATCATGATCGACAAACATATGTCGAACACATTGAGAAACCCAATACACAACCTTGGATTTCTAAACCTCGATGGAAAACAAGTGTAAAGTGCTGAATATCAGCAAAGCTTTTTGTGGTTTAATTGTTGTATAATCTTTGATATGGCTGCTACTCTGAGTCAAAATAGTGAGCTCAATGAGTTTGCCGACAGCTGAGTCATTATTCTTCAATTATTTAGATAATTTAAAAAATATTTCAAACACTTTGAGTCACTTACAAAAAAAGAATAAAAAATATTCAAATTCTGGTTGTGCTTTTCCGGTTTTGATAAACATAACACTATAAATAAAACTTTCTGCCTAAAATGTAAACCATATTTTATTCCACTTATCCCACTTAACAAAATTTAAAAATATTTCCCCAACAGACTTTTGGTCTAATAAAAACCAAAATGATCCCCAAATTTCCCACCTAATAATATCATGATTTGTCATATTCCCCCCATTTAAGAGCCATTTTCCATCCGATCTCAGTCGCAGCTGCTTTCACTCAAGGGGAGAAGTCCAACTCCAAAATGGTTGTACAAACGACCCATTTAAAAGAGTGTGCTCCACATACAAAAAAAAAAAAAAAAACGATTTGGCGTCGTATGAATAAATTTATGCACATTTAAGTACTTAATGAGAGTTGTACACTGGAGGGCGACAGACATTCAGCGGCAATCGAAATAATCACAGAATCGGAATGAGCAGTCATTAGATAGGCCCCCAAACCCCCTGAATCTCTCGTCGGCACTCCCACCTCTTCCAGTTTTCCATTCCACGAATAACTTAAACGATGAGCGCGAATGCAAAATCACAAAGCTCTGGAGAGCGAAATAAAAGCCAACTTCCGGTTGGTCATTCGGTTGGTCAGACGCTATAATCGCTATAATGTTCGTGCCAGAGATCGGCATTTGAATATTATGAAATTATGATTTTATATTAGCTTTTGAATTCTGCCTTTTTGCATACATTACAAATTATCAAAATTAAACTTGGCGGTTTTGGCAATTAGTCACCGAAAGGTAGGCTTAACCGATAATACGTATTTTTCATAGTTTTCGCTATAATAAAATTTAATAAAACCTCAGCTTAACCATTTTAGTAATCATTATTGCATTTAGCTTTTCTAAACCTATTTAACTGCTGCTTTATGTAAATTTTTGATAAGTTTTAGTTACTTTATTACGGCTACATAAGCCATAAATTAATTTTGCCAAAAATAGAGAAACCACAAACATAAACAATTCTATACGTATACACAGAGAAAAAAAATGAAAACAGTTTTAAGGTCAGTAGATAGACAAATTTATTGCTTCTAACGTCACTTAAAAAACGAACATCCGCATTTGTGAAATTTACAACGTTTCCCAAATAGTAGGCGATCCCCAAATGGAACTCCCCGAGGTTTTAAGTTTAACAGCCACGTCATAAAGTGCGCTTCAAAGCAGTTTATATGTGATTTCGTAATGTCTAACCTTTATTGTCCAAATTAGCCGCTGTTAATATTGAAATTCAACATTCATTGCATTTCACTTTTCCAAGTTTGATTTGATGGAGCCATTTCCAAATTGTTTATAGCTCGACGTTAACGTATTTATATTCGTATTTCCGACGTCATCAACCACAAATCAGTTGCGCCCAAAAATAGAGATAAATAAAACGTAAACAAATCCAAGTAAATTAAAGTGTACACATTTAAACTGTAAAGCTCAACGAGCAATTTGTTTGGTCTACATATCAAGTATCTTTTTCACGGGTTTTAAGTGCACTTTAAAATAATTGTTTTTGTTCGTTTTGAGTTGGCTGGAAGTTGAGGCGCAAATCTGTATTTCTTTTGTATTTCGTGACAACCAAAGTGCGTTTCAATATTATAGGATCATAAAAGAATAATTGCATGCATACGATGCAAATTAAATTTTATTTAAAAACGCGAGTGTGAAATAAATAAAATTATAGCACTGCGAAACGCACTGTCTCTGCATGACACATTTTTGTGGTTTATTAAAATGACACTGGACTGATTTCATTTAACCGAATTTAATTTAATTGAATAACGCCCCGAGTATCGTTATTTACTCGCTTTAGTTTGCATTGCTGCGCCCAAAGGTTATAATAAATTAAACCGCAGCCTGAAGCAAACCTCAGAAATTAATTTATATGTTTGTCTAAACAGAAATATAGACGTTTGACTGC